TGCAACCTCATTTCCTTTCACCCCAGAGTGTCCTCGCACCCATTGGAGTATGGTGGACGCTTGCCTTTTGTGGACAAGATCTTGAATTTTGTAGACATATTCTTTGTACGAGGGGTTTATGGTGTTCCTGATTGCGTACAAAGCTCACTCATCAATGAGTGAGTCAAAATGCACAAATAAGATGGACGTAATCAACTGTCCGCTATTGCTGAAAATTTAAGAACTTAATTTGTTCAGAAATTCACACAGGTTGATAAAATATGTTTAGGACTATGAATGAATCATCTAAGTACCATGACACATATATTTAGGTTTCAAAATGAGTTATTCTGCTTGAAAAATTCATATGACATAATTCGCCAGCATATATAACGCTTGGGAGTATAACAAAGTTGTGTTATAAGATGTATGAAATTATTCAAATGAATCTGTGACGGGTTTCAACTGCATTTCTTGGCGATTATTTGATCTTGTGTAAGTGGATTTGAACTGCTTCTTATGGTCAAACTAAGTAAATTGAAATCGGTTTTTAAATTTATTTAAAATAATTTCATAAATTCCTACATTTGTTGGAAATGAATTAATAAAATTCTAGCCTGCATTTGATGCGAGCCAACCCGAAGAAAACAAATCAATACCTCCGAAAACACTTGAAGTTCATAATGGTAATGAGAAATGTACTGATGTTTGTAATGATGACGTTCGCGAGAGCAGTGCGATAAATGGCGATAGGGGCTGAAGATGTGATTAAACTGCGATAAGGGGAGATATGGCCCATTGCCGGACTCTTTCACAGGCTATATGGCGGTCAGTTAGCAGTTGGTGTGCGTCAGTAAAAAGTAGAGACGAGCTCGACCCAATACATTTCGCGTCGAGAGAAGAACAAAATAAGACGTTCTTCGACTTGAGTTCCACCAGGACTTATTACTTCACTAATTAACACGTAATTATTTCACAAGACCTCTCATTGCCAGTTGATTTAAAAGAGTAACATTGATATAAAAGAGTAACATTGATTGTTATATATTACAATACGTCAATGACATAGATCATTGGTCATTGCTTACTCATTTGATAACTTCAAATAATAACAGATAATACAATCGTTCGCATACAAAAGTAAGAATCTTCATTTCATAATATTCCATGAAGTTTTGTAGTGATCGACAGGTCGTGTGGTGATTTCTTTGATAGTTTTTTTTCGAATTGACCTCCTAAATCTCTTTTTGATAAATATTAGTGGTCTAAAAACATGAGCAACAATTGAGTGCAAGTTTTTTTACAATAAGAATGGTACATTAAGAAAATGTTTCCGAACCACTCATACACTTGACGCTGTTGTCAGCACTGACAACATTTACAATTATTATTATTATTTAATGCATCTTCAGTCTTCACATGCTTATTTCCATTACGCTTATATGTATCATTTAATGTGCACAAAATTGATAGATGACCACGTTCTTCGTTAGACTCTGAGGGTGAAATTGCCGTAACAAACATTCAATTCTAATGCTGAATTTTTGTTAATCAAGCGGAAACTTTTTATTGAAAAAGTAGGATGACTTAGAATTGAATACAAAAAATGTACACACATTTACCGTAAACCATTTGCTGAATCTCATATAACCGTTCAACTATACGACACCGATTAAGCAAGCATTCTAATTTTATGTATTAGATTCGCAAAACACTGTTGACATTGAAGAGCAGAAACATAGTGAACTGACTTGTATGTGACTTGAATTGTAACCATAAAGACTACTTTATTCTGAGAACATCCATCCATTTCTCTCCCACATTAGAACATGTATGATTTTATTAATGCTATTCTAGAAGTCTACTGCTCGCCAATATCTAGGTTAAAATAGCTCGTATTAGTAGTTGATTATTAACCGTTAATTTGATGCGCGTGATGCCAGTTCGGCTATTGCTGAAAACAAATAATTTCCGTTCATTATCCGACTCGTTACTATAGCCTGACGTGGTGATCGAGCTGGGACATAAGGCTACCGAATGATGATGAGTTGATGACCAATAAACACATTTTATATACTTCATTTCCTCGTCATATATTTTCAGAGGTGAACGTCGAACAATAAACTCAGAATTAAAGGACATGAATCATCAGAAGCCAACGATAAAACATTGATAAAGTATGGTAGAGTCAACGGACGACTAGGGACAAATTATCAATGGTTGGGACAGATTAGGTTGAACCAACACCAGCTCGTGACGTGACGCATGATTGTTTGTGTTGTCACATGTCATAAGTGATAAGCTAAATAAAGAACATGATGTGTAATGGACATAAACCTGATTTTTGAAACATCCATTTCAAATTAAGAAAAAAATATAATTCAATAATAGCAAATATGTTTCAAATAATAAATTCTCATGGTTGAACTAGTATGTTCAACCATGATACATTATAATATAATTTAAGCGTTTCAAACCAGCAAACAATATATTAACTAACATATTATAATTTAAAACAATCATCGGGCTCCATCATTAAATACTATGCGTTATTGAACTATATAATTCTTTTCTTGCGCAGATCAATTATATAATTTGCATTTCTCCTAGTTTTCATGATATCCCGTTTTATCATCGAGAGGATAACACGTATTATTTATATTGTGTCCGGCAATTAACGAGGAGACACCATGAAAAAAAGTCAAGTATGGGAGGTTGACCACACACTGGATGACCACAAAACGTCTGCTTCAGATGGCGGGTAAGTGTTGCTCCCTCTACCGCCGTATGTCACTCTCTGGGAACATAACTTTCAACTTGAAATATTCGTAAACTATATAGTCCAGCAACTTGAGGACGTTTGTACGCAACAGAGAATATTTTAAAGTTGTCGCGGGTGGCGGCAACCATCAGTGCAAGTCATTTTACGCTCACTAGAACGTATCCTTTTTGGATAATAGGCTTGTGACAATATTGCTCCGGTTACTCATGTCAGGCGGTAGAGGGTTAAAGAATTACTTTGCACTATACTTATTTCTGGTTAAACTTACAGGGTGATATGATACATCATACTTGCCTAATCGAGCGTAGAAAATTATGACCAATGAGATGATTATTTACGTAATAATTTAATGTAATTGGACGTTATTAATGGCATGCTTTGTACTTTCTTTCGCCTCAGCAGTTTTGACTAACTACTGGACCGTGATGAGAATATCAACCCAGAATTTTCCTAACTGCAAAGAACCTATTAGAAGTAGACTAGACCTGTTGGGAAGAGCAAGCATTTTTATGATCGAAAATATTTATCTAAGCCTACTCAGCTTGATTAACTAGCTTTGCTTGAAGCGGTCCAGGTAATACAGACGCTTCTTTAAAACCAGTCGATTTGCACCATTTTCTCTATTAAAAATAACTCTCTTTGCAATAAAATTATTCGTTAACGTACATTTTTCTGCTTAAGTAGGAAGGTGATTTTATATTATTTTCATTTACATCCAGACCCAAGAGTGATGTTGACAAAGCGGCGGTGGCCGACGTGTCAGACCTTCTTGAAACGCCAGAGGAAAAGAAGGCCAGGAAGCGATCGCACTGGGTCGCCTACATCACCATGTTCGTCATGAGCATCGGCTACTCTATTGTGCTCACTGGCGTGTGGCCCTACCTTAAAATTGTTAGTAAAGCTATCAACGGTAGCTTGTACCTGCTGATAATTGTGTAAACGACCACAGTCAAAACAATTAATTGTTGTGTATTCAGTTGTACATGAACTTGAAACGAAATAATTCAAATTTCATAGTAGTCACTGATTTTCCAGTGTATAGAGAATTAAGCATTTCATCAGCATGCCACACAAAAGCAAATTTGCCAAAATACTTGTATATTTCGTGCCAAAATCGCGGAACTGCAGATTTTATGGAATCGGCAGCCTTCTTGCCGAATGTGTACAATCAGTATTTCGTTGCATATTCAGAAAATCGGAAAATAGAACATAAATCGACAGTTACAGGTAGAAAAGGTTAGGTCAAGATTTGACTATTTAAAAAGAACTCGGCTGACTGACCTAACCCCAGATTCCTATAGTATAGAAATGCTGATCATACAGATTCGGCAAACTGGCTGCCGATTCCATAGAATCGGCAATTCCGCGATTCCGGCACGACATATATATGATATTTTAGATTCTATAAATTGTTTCGCTGCAGTACTGGAAACGCAGTATATCGTGAAAGATAAATTGAAATTACAGATCAACGGGTCGCTGGACAAGGAGGCTCTAGGTTGGGTGGTCGCAGCAAATCCTTTCGGGCAGATGATCGCTTCCCCGCTGCTGGGCTGGTGGGGCAACAAGGCTGGGTCCATCAGGTAACTGCAAACGTTGTGAATTCAGAACGTATTTCTTGTCTAACTTTATTTCTTAAAGGAGTAATCGTTCAAATAGATCTATGATGTTGGATAAGGTGAACTGATATTGATATTTTTTTGAATAAAACGGGGTTCTAGGATCAATGCTCAAGGAAGTCTAGTTGACGTGTAGAGATTGAAATTGTCGCTTTTTTTCCTCACAGGGCTTGCCTCTTATGCAAGTTTTCGCGATTAAAAACAAACGTCCTGAAAACATTATTAACTTCTAAGAGCGTTCTTAATCTATTTCTTTTCTTTGCAGAGGAGCTTGTATAACTACGATCATTTGCTTCATTTTTGGTAACGCCTTATACTCGTGCCTGTACGGCATCAAGAATCCTGAAACTGCCTACTACGTCATGATCTTCGCCAGGTTCGTCGTCGGCGTTAGCTCAGGTGAGCTCAGCAACACACAGAACGCACACTACACGAACTGCCAACTCTGATTTATTTGATGAAATTTTTGTTAGATATTTGTGTTTATTCTAGAATTCGAACCGAATATTACAAGTGACTACTCTGGTAAATGTGGGTCGAACTGATCTGACTCAAATCAACGTTTCTTTGCTTTAAAAAGGACAAGGGGATTCATGATAGCGGGATTCGGAATATTATGATTAGGAATAACGTATTTCTGAATCACTGGATTAAAAAATCTCAAAGTTCGTCTATCCCGGAGAACGCGTCTTCCTTGTTTAAAATGAGTAAAGCAAATTATGCATCCTCAGTGCAAACGATTAATTTTTGAAACATTTATGTGACAACTCAATAAAAATTTGTCACTGAAGTCTTCAAAAAAGTATAATTTTGAAGTGGAAGAAGTAACCGTGTTTGGGTGCAGGGAACGTGACGTTGTGTAGGTCGTACCTCGCGGCCTCCACAACGCAGAAGGAGCGCACCGCGGGCATCTCCATAGTCGCCGCGGCCCAGGCCTTGGGCTTCGTCGTTGGGCCAGGTGAGAAGCAACAAATTCTTCGGTGTAATAGTAATTCTATTATATATTAACCGTTTGTAGTTTTTGTACACATATCTACCGACCATTCTACATCTTTGCCCGACTTGCATAAAATTATTGTTCGTGTCCATTGGTTCGTATCCTTTCATAGAAGTGGATGGTTGCCCGTGAGGTCCTGTTAACAAGTCAAATTATGGTCAATTTTTGATGTTAATTTGAGCACTTCATTGAATTATTTTTACAGTAACCGCCCACTTAAACGGGAATGCCTTAAACGGGAATGCCACGGTTACGGCAGGTTTATTTACAAAGGACACCAGTTCACTTATGAACTGGTGTCCAGTAAACTGGGTGTTGTCATAGGTGTAAAATACATGCTACACTACACGTCCGCCACTTAGTGGAATGGTTCTTGTGAAAATGGAAATGATACCAACATGTTAAAGGGATAAAATGTTCATGATTAACGATCTACATGACTTCCATTTGCATTCTTAATAAAAACCACTAGTGGGTGAAGCAGGAGTTTCTCCGAAACGTTTGCTCGATTTACCAATGTTTAAGTTATATTCCAAGAAATATTCGCGACCTAAGTTTGCTAGTAGTAGAGTTGAGTGAAGAGCTACAAATAAGAAGTAAGTCCCAAGTAAAAAAGCCCCAAGTACGAAATATCCAAGTAAGTAAGGGCCCCAAGTGTACAATTTTAGAACAAACAAGATAATAAAACACGCATCAATATTCGTAAAACTAATTTTGAGGGAGTGGGTTTATTTTTATTAACAGGTGCGATTCGCGCAGAAATTCGAAAATTAATATTTGATTCGAACGCACATTGGGTGAGCGTGTACCAATTAAAAGACAACCCTTGACGATGAATCCTCAAAACAAAACGCTGTATTCCGCATCCAGTAATATAAATTCGGTCAAAAACTGCACGAACTTTTTCAAGGTCTTTGCAGTGCCACAACGTTGCAGATTCAGTGCAGTATATAGGTACCATCATTATGAAGTATTTAAATAAATGATGATGTTACTGGGTGCATTATTTCAAAACTTCACTGTCTATACTCATGCATTTTTTGCAAGATGTTTGAGGTGGAATTATCAAAGTAAGATTCTGATGTGAAACTAAAGAGGAGAACGTGTTAATTTCATTTATAAAAGACACAAAACACCATTTGCATGAGTGTGTAACCTAGTTTGCAGCGGTTGTACTGAGTACCACTCAGTTCCCTGCACATCACGCAAGGTCGCACATGCTGTTGGGTCAGGGCTTGAAGACAGATATTCCGCATATGCGATACAGAGATAAGCAATGCTTAGGCTCATAGATAAGAAACGCTAAAGGACACATGAGGTGGATCCCAGGAATGGTTATATTATTACAGTACTCAAAGTTACAAGACTGCATAACACAGAGAAGAAATGCATTTGTCACTAATCATCATCAAACAAATCAGTCTTGCAGATAATTAATACGACCAATAATTACTCGCTCTCATGCTTTGGGGAAATAATAGCTATATGATTAGACGCCGGCGTTTGAAAGGTTTCCGGAATTTGCTGCGGAATGTCAGATAAAAATCAGGAATAATCTGATTATTACCTTCTCGCTGCCCTGATTTACATAAAGTTGAACCATGCGAATAAACATTAATTATTCGAGTTAATACATCACATATGTATATTGTGTTCAATCACTGGTGATCTTGGCATACATTTTTAGAACTATTTCGCAGACAAAACTCCTTGTCTGAAGTTGTAGAATGTTGTCTATTAAAAATAGGTGCTAAGAAAACTCGTCGGTATTATGTATTCTAAGAATTGATTTCACTTATTATAGTTATTGGTAAATATCACTATTCAAAACATCGTACTTCACCTTTTAGTTGTCGATTCACGTCCAGCCACACATTCGGCCGAAATCCCGACTTATTTGAGCGGTTAATATGATCCTTTTTATATACGAAATATGAAGGCAATATGAAGCGAGTTCCCCTGCTGATTCGTTCGTTTCTACTAAAAATCAACAAGTATGAGTTGATCAACGCATACTTTTCGCCGATCTGTATGATGGTCGCTAACAATCAGTCAATATTCGATTTGCAATTAGTTTTATAAAATTATGGCTGGCTGCCATATTACCAATTCATGAATCTAATGTTCGTATAATGCAGCATGTATCCGAAATACCAATTGCTACTGTTAAATCATACCCTTGTTAAATAATCTATCCTTGCTATTTGAAAAGTCATCATGAGACTGATAACGTATCTCGCAGATGTCACCGCTCGCTGAACATGGGAAAGTCAGGATGCATAGCTGGGCACTGATAAGTTCGAGTGTCCACGAAACTCGTGGCTTTCGAGATATAAACTGGATATTTCTGCGCAGTCATTAAATTATAGTTCTTGAATTTTCATCAACATTAACAGCCCCTGTCTGGGTCGGTCCAAATCGCGTGCTAGTAAAATGCTCTATAAAGTCGTGGCTTTATTTTCGTATCATTCTACCAAAACCTAGGCATGCTCAATGATCATGGTTTAACTTCCCTACAAGTCATCGATTAAATGAGCATTTAAAAGTTATATGGACAAAAAAAGTCGCAATTCGTGTTGTATTTGTCTTTCTTTTATTTTTAACAACAATAAGCTGAAACCGTACTTACCAATTCATCGACCAGTACAGAACATTCAAATGAAACTTTGACTAGTTACACAAACGGCATATTCAATTACTAGCTACATACAAAATGCTTTCCAAGTTTTTACAGCTATTCAGTTAGAATTTATGTTTTTAACTGAAGTTTAAGTTTATTACTGGGAGCTTTCTCATTCGTCACGCCTCATTTCCATCAGCTATAAATAAAAGATTATTTTTCGCTTTTGGATGACCAAAATAATAAATAACTAAGTCAATAATGATTTTATATTATAAATTAGGCTTTTAATTCCAGATAGCTGGTGAAACATATATTTTACTACAATTCAGATCATAATATTTGATAATAATTTTTTGACTGCAAATAAATCGATGAAAAAAGGTCCGAGACTTTTATTATAGAATTTGATAATCATTTTTAAATTAATTTGATAATTTGATAATCATTTTTTAATCATTTGAATATTCGATAATCATTTTTTGACTGCAAATAAATCGATAAATAATGTCCGAGAATTTTATTATATAATTCAGATCATAATATTTGATAATCATTTTTTGACTGCAAGTGAATCGATAAAAATGTTCGAGAATTTTATTATAGAATTCAGATCATAATATTTGCTAATCATTTTTTGACTGCAAATAAATCGATAAAAATGTTCGAGAATTTTATTATAGAATTCAGATCATAATATTTGATAATCATTTTTTGACTGCAAATAAATCGATAAATAATGTCCGCGAATTTTATCTTAGAATTCAAACCATAATATTTGATAATCATTTTTTGACTACAAATAAATCGTTAGATCATATCCGAGACTTTTATTGATGTAGCTTACGTGGCATCGGCATGTGCAGTGATCCAGGCGGTGCTGACTGTGACGGTGACGGAAACCTCAGGTAATGGGGCCTTCACTTGGGACAAGTACACATCCGCAGGCTGGGTCGCCGCCATCCTCGGCCTCATCAACGTCGTCATCATGCTGCCCTGCGTCTTCCAGGTGAGGTCTTCTGCACATTGCGTACCGGTGCTTCGTATCCCAGCGCCGTATATACAAACGCATTGCGCATTAGTATATATATATTGCCGCATATACGAACAACGCTTTGCGCACTGGCGCACCGTGCACCAGCGCCGTATACAAACGCCTTGCATATTAGTATATATTTTACCGCATATACTAACAACGCCTTGCGTACCGGTGCTTCGTGCATCAGCGCCGTAGATACAAACGCCTTACACATTAGTATATGTTGTGCATTGGTCCGCGCTGCATATACAAACAAAGCCTTGTGCATCAGCGCCGTATATACAAACGCCTTGCACATTAGTATATGTTTTGCATGGGTACGCGCCTCATATACAAACAGCGCCTTGTGCATTAGCGCCGTATATACAAACAACTTCTTGCGCATTAGCGCCATATATACAAACAGCGCCTTGCGCATCAACGCCGTATATACAAACGCCTTGCACATTAGTATATATTTTGCATGGGTCCGCGCCGCATATAAAAACAACGCCTTGTGCACTAGTGCTTCGTACACCAGCGCCGTATATACAAGCGCTTACACATTAGTATATGTATTGCATGCATGGTCAGCTTCGCATGCACAAACGCCTTGTGCACTAGTGCTTCGTGCACCAGCACCGTATATACAAACGCCTTGTGCACTAGTGCTTTGTGGACCAGCACCGTATACTGGTGCATGCAATGGGTAACAAAGCCCTATTTTATTAGACCCTAGCGCAACTTATCTGCGCAGACGAGAAACTTGCTTTGGATCATCTCATTATTCAGTAAGTCCAGGAAGTTACAATTTCAACTTCGTATGGTCTGACGTCAAAGTTTCATGAATAAATGATTGGCAGACATATGGAAATGGTGACGGTCGACAGCAAGCTGCAGTAATGGTTAAAGATATTATTAGAGTAATCAAGAAGTCGGGAAATTGGAGAACAATTTAGTTTAGTCATTTACATTTTTCTAAATTCCCTTGATGCTTTCTACTTATTATGAACATGTGGGTTAGGTCGCTTGAAAAACGTTGCATTCATCGCAGATGCTGCAACTGTTGAGTCATGCGCTGTGCTTCCAGCCTAATTAATGCTCTGTCTTGTGGGTTACTCTTTGTGTTAACAAGTTTCTTTATACGGGTAAATTTCGCTCGGTGTTGAGAGTATAAAACTCAATGAGTGAAACTCGTAAGCCTATATACAGGCATGAGGTCGAGAAGTGCATATATGCCCTTTTAATTGTGAAACCGATTTGAGACTTCGAGTGTCAAGACGATAGAATTCAAAGTGAATACTCGAGTATAAGGCGTTTCTAATTTAGGTAACAATGATTCAAAATCTGATTTTTTGGTGGATTTATCATATAAAAATTTTTTTCAACCTCGACCTGGAGAATTGAGTTAAATCTAAATCATGTGGCACCTCCCGCTAAATATACACACGTTTCTTTGTGCTCAACTTACGAGTTTAGCATTAGCTCGTTATTTATTAAGATATTTAGAGAAAAATTTTCGTATTACATCTGAAATTGAGACGCCACTTGATTCCCGTACATTTTCACATTGCTTGCTGCCGAATATGTAAACTTGTGTTTTAACTTGAGTTGATATCGCATTATTCAATATTGCTAGAGATGAAACTGCAAAAGTTTCCTTTTGATGTCTTATGGCGATTTGTGCTCGGAAATTTATCAATCGGGGCGACATTATTGCATACCAGAGTTGAAGGTACCTCTAAAAAACCATCAATAGCCCGAAATTAAATTTCCATGATCGTAATAACCGTCAATCATAGTGCAATAATATAACTTATAGAAACAATTCGAAAAAAACTCTCTACATTATGTCAGTATATTTACATTTATTCGGTATCAAACCTCAGTTTCATAACCACAATGTATAAACAGGCAGAAAATTTATATTTTAATCTGCTTTATGTTCTCATTCATAATCGTTACAGTGAAATATATTGCAAATGTGCAATTCAGTAAGATATTGAACGACAGCATTTTGTTAAATTCTCGCACATCAACAGTAGGTACGTGAAAGCAACTGAACGACAGAACAAATCCTCATGCACGAATTCAAGTTGAATCCTTGCACATAGACAGTCCTAAAAAGGAACTGAATGACAGCCCTAAGTTACAGTGCCGGAAATGGCTATACGACCACCCAGTTCTCTCCAAATATTTTTTCTTGCACAAGATATTAAGGGATTCTAATTATACGAGGCTAAACTAAGTTTAAAAACGGTTCCAACGCTATGCGAAAAAAATAATTTTCTCAAAGTATATGAGAAGAAATTATGAAAATTAGAAAAACCTAGGTGGAAATGGCTATAAGACCAAGGTAGGTTTTTCTCCATTTTGGTATCTTTCTGTAACATATTCACTTTAAAAAGTACAGCAATATAAAGAATATATTGATTTTAGTCATTTAGGGCCTTTCTGGTGTACTTCTGGTGTAGTTCAGTGTCCTCACTTATATTTTTTCGAAGTAAAAAATATGCCAAATGGGACAAGACTCACTGAGGCCGAGAAGACGCAGTTTTCGGCTTTGTGAAATGCAGTAGAAGCCAACGGGACATCGAAATGGGACTAAAACGCTCAAAACCCATTGCACAATAATTTTTTTACTAATCCGGGCGGCTACGGGTGGAAAAGGCACACTGGACCAACCCCAAAATTAACCATCAGGGATCTTAACAGACTGTTTTCTGAGGCTTCTATAACTTGCGCTACCTCTACTTCTATAAAATTGGCCACTGGAGTTGATGTGACAGCACGACGCATCCGTTAGACATTGCATGACTCGAAGAAATTCAAATACATGACGAGGAAAATATGCTCCTGTGCTCCAACAAAAGCATATTATCAACCGACAAAAATTTGCTGAAAAATATTTGCTTATTGGTAAGGGATGGCCATGATTACCTTCAGTGATGAAAGAAGTTCAATCTTTATGATCCAGATGGATGGCAATGCTATTGGCACCACTGGACCGTGAGCCTGAATTTTCTTTTTTCAAGCGGCAATCATGTGGCGGTTCGGTCATGGTTTTTTAGGGCGCTTAGCTGAAAGGGAAATAAACTCTAGCTATTTTACATGGGAGATAAGATTCCGAGGCTTACAAGCACACGCTGTTTTACCAACTTCTCCCTTTTGCCGATGAGAAACATGAGGGAACATATGATTTCCAACAAGACAATGCTTCGATTCACACCTCAAAATCGGCAAACATGTGGTTCCTAGAGCAGAATATTACTCTGTTGCCGTGGCCAGCGCTTAGTCCTGACCTCAACCCCATTGAAAACTTATGGGGCATCATGGCGAGGGATGTTTACCAAAATGAGCGCCAGTTTCAATCTGTGGGTGACCTGAGCACGGCCATCCTTCGTTCTTGGGATAAAATTTCTCAAAAGACACTGGATTATATGGTAAATAGCGTGGGGAGAAGATGCATTGAGGTAATTATGGCGAAAGGAGGTGAGATTGCTTATTAAAATGAGTGTATGTGATCCACAAACGGAAAAACAAATCTTGGTCTTATAACCATTTCCACATGGATTTTCTAATTTTCATAATTTCTTCTCATATATTTTGAGAAAATTATTTTTTTTTCGCATAGCGTTGGAACCGTTTTTAAACGTAGTTTAACCTCGTGTAATTAGAATCCCATAATTTTTTGTGCAAGAAAAAATATTTGGAGAAAACTGGGTGGTCGTATAGCCATTTCCGGCACTGTAAATCCTTTTACTGTCCAGAATGAGAAAAAAAACACAACGACAACCTTACGTTAAATTTTGCCTATCGTTGCCTGAGAAAACAACTGAACGACAGCTTTCAGTAAAATATTTGTACCTCGGAAGTACAAGCAACGATTGAATAACAAGAGTCATAAGTTAAATTCCTGCCCAAGGTCAGCAGACACGCCAGTTCGAATCCCGTGATAACTCGCTCATAAAATTTCTACGGAACAATGGAGCGAAAACGATCATGATGAGGGAAAACCACTGAGACGTTCAGATCCACGTTTGTAGCTTGTTAATACATATTAAAATACTTAATAACAACCGCTTGCCATATTGTTAATGACCACCATAAAGTGTGATTGCGATAGTTTTGCGATTAAAAAATCTTATGAACAAAAAGTCAAAGTTTGTGGTTTTGTGTGTAGGTTTATTTGAGTGTCTGACGCTTGTCACCACAAATATACATAGGAGCTGTGATGGCGCGTATGAACGATACTTATACTTGTGTATGCAACAGGGATAAATCGCCAATCTGATTAACACCGATGATGAATATTCAGAGTTTTTGGCTAAAAATCAAGTAGATTGTGGGAAATATGATTCCAATGTCGATTGCCAAGCATTTATATGGCGGTATTCATATTGAGATTTAAGATAGTGAAAATTGCAGGAAAATTTCAAACCCTAGTGCCAACTAAACCGGATATGGAAGACAGAAACCCATCGACCGACAGTGTTGCAGTAGTTTTTATTTTCAATCTACATGGGAATATCATTAAAAAATCGATGAGTGCACTTGATCTTATATCAACATCAAAATGTACGCAGAGCGATTGCATCGGGTGTTTGAACCAATGTTACAATGTATTATTTTAAAAACGTACTTAAAAAAATTTATTCAGTTGAGAAGGCGAATGAATTCATGATATATATGTGATGTGACTGATTCGTAAATTCTGCAAGTAATGTGAATATTTTGACTACAAGGAACATTATATCGCTGAGAAGGAGCGAACGATGCAACTCGAGGAATTGCATCGAAGCGAGGAGCCTCTGCCTAAAATGGACTACGTGGCGTTGAGCGTCCTGCTCTACGCTTTCTTCCTGCCGGTGCTGGTGCTCGTCTTCCTCGAGACCATCGGAGTGCCTTTCGTTTGCGATCAGTACGCCTGGGATAGCGACACTGCAATATTCAAAACTGGCCTCTTCTTATCGTTTGGTGGTCTGTGTATGATGTCCCTCTTCTACTCAGCTGGCTTGATCGTCAAGAGGATCGACGAACGGATCGTGATGATATGCTTCGGCGCTATTCCAATCACCATCGGCTGTTTTCTTTTCTTGCCCTTCCGTGGCACTCAAATTGAAATGTCCAACTGCACCGAAAATCAAAGGCTTGATAAAGCTATGCCGTACTATGGATTCACGATTGCCGATGTCCAAACTTCGCAGAATATTCAATGGGAGACTTTCAACGGTAGTACTTGGTTGCCGGATGCCTACACGGATGGGTCCGATGCTACCGTAGAACTTGGCTGTACCCTCGGTTGTCCACAAGACCAAGACTGGTGTCGCTACGTGCCTCAGCTTTCGTTGCCGCAGCTGGTGATAGCTTGCATGTTCATCATGGCAGGCTTCCCCATGTTGCAGTCAGTGACTCTGGGGCTTTACTCCAAAGTGGTCGAGGCCAGAAAACAGGGACTTTGGTTGTCCCTTTTGGGTGTTGTAGGTTCTATGTCGCGTGTTGTTGGACCCATTATCGTAACTTACGTTTATACGGAGCTAGGAACCTACTGGACCTTCGGGACGCTAACGTTCCTCATGGCTACACTCCTGATTGTCCTCTCACTAAGCTTTAATCGTCTACGGCGATAACTGTCGTAGTTAGATAATTCGATGAATAAATAGAAAAAGCGCCAAAAATTAGTAAATATTTCTGCATAATTTTTCTGCTGAGTCATATTTAATTGTTGTTTTTTGGACTAAAAATTTACAAATTTTCAATCAAAAGAAAAGTAAGAGGACATTTTCAGGAGTATACATTCATTACACGAGGAAAAATTTCTCAGTAACAGAGAAAAATGAACGATTATTTCAATTCAGGGAATAGCAAAAATAAGGAACAGGTATTTGTCACTAGTTGACGTAAAAAGTTTAAGATCTATTATACTCGTATATCGCTAGTGCTAATTTACAAGATATTAGTAATTTGTTATTTATTGTGAGCGATCACTGTAGGTATTAAAATTTCAGTTAGCTGTTATAATCTATAATTGTTATCTAGATCATGCAAATATTTTTAAAGTCAAGGCAGTTTTTCTCTCGAGTATCATTAATTTGCATGATAGCATCATCCTGAAAATGTTCAGTGTTCGGTTTTCGTTGCCTTGAACGTGTACACCGAATTAGTAATTCGAATGGTCTGTTTAATTCTAACGTTTACTGCAAAATTGTCCAATCACTACAACCAACAATAAGGAATTATTGATTATGCTATCACAACTATGGGTTAAACAGCGTTCACGTGAATGCATCTCATCACGCATCGCAAGTTATTACCTACTCAAGATGAGAGCTTTCAGACCTAAAACTGCCAATAAATTGTGTGAAATGGGAATGTAATGAATAATAGCGTATACGTGTTTGCTGTCGTATTTATTGTATGTGCTTTAACTGAGCGTAATTGCCATTTTGAACTCAGGGATGAAAGTAAAAATATAATGGAGAAATATTAATAAAACAACCTCATATGATGCTATATTCTAACTATTTGCTCATATAATAAGTGATTTCTATTGAAGAGAAGTTTTTCTCTCGTCATGATAGGCAAACAAGTCATTAGTTAATAGGTTCGTAACGTCCTGAATGCTGTGTGAGAGAAAAAGATGTTTCAATTCAACTTGCCGAGTAGAAGTTATGTTGCTTTGCTAATTAGGATGTGGAGCAATGTTTCCTGTGATTATATTTCCCGAGTAATCAGATTCTTACCTCATGCAAGCGTGTCTTGTGCACGTCTATTCTTTGTGTGTTAGTTAGTTTATTTATTATAGTTTATTTAAGCTTGAAACGATGAACTAGCAGGGTAAGGTAGAAGAAAATTTAAATTTTAACTTATAAATTATTTGATTTAAAGTTATCCTACGGTCTAATACACTACGAATGTTCTACGCATCATTGCAACTAGCAGTGTATTTTTATTACTCCGAAATGAGAAGCTTTATAATTATGCAAATCGTTCAGTAGCTCCCGCAATGCACAGGGTGAAGGAGAAAATGGATTTGAATGCAGCAGTGGCTGTGTTTATTTTGAGCGGGAAAAATATGCATGGCCTACGCCGTGACGCACGAATCGATTCGTTCTATATTGAATCATCTACTTATATAGGAGCTGGTGTAATACATGAATTTCATATACTCTATTGTGGCCGTCGAGAACAATTTTTAATTTATAGGTGTTATCATTAAATCAAGAGTCTTGAGTCGATAATTAAATGCTACACGAGCGGGCCATCTTCTTGAACAAACAGGGATCAGTACGGAACGTGTCTCATAAACTTGTCATCATTGCTGTCACATGTATTCATAAAAAGTAATCATGCGATCCCAAAATATTAATTTAAAAATAATCACAAAAGATGTTCTGAAGTCACAAATTAGATACGTGAAGCATCGACGACGATGAATATCTTTTTAGATTTGGTTGAGTTGTGGTAAAAATATTTTTTCGTTTTATTATTTAAAGCAAAAAATTTGTCTCTCTTGTGATTCAATTCTGTTGCAAGTCTTTCTGCCATTCGCCATACAATCGTCAGTATAATACCGCACATGAATTAATGATCTGATTATTATGATCCAGTATTTTAAAGTATACCATATTATTTCAAACAGACATTTTCTTCTCCTTTACGATTGGCTGCCATGGCAATGATCAAGGGCCGTCAATGTTGGTGAAACTGGAACTCGGTCCCAAAAAGTACTTGTAGGCCAACAGCCATGCATCTTCTAGGTAATGCAACGCCCACTTTCTAGAAAAAATAGTTAAGATTTTTGTTCTAAAATTTCATCCTCGTTCCTTGCAGGAATATCCCATCGCTGTGAAAGAGCAAGCTCTCGTAAATAAGAACGATGGTAATGAAAAACCGCTGAAGCTGCCAAAACCAGATTATCTTGGTATTGGAGGCATTCTTTTTGCCTTTTTCTTCGTGTTGTTCATCTACGTTCTCCTCGAAGCGCTGGCCGAGCCTTTCGTCACTGACATGTACGCAGTGACTGATGATTACGCCATGGTAGCTGTGGGCATCGCCCTCGCCGGAGCTGGTCTCGTCTGCGTCGGAGGATTCATTGGAACGACGAGGCTTGCTAAGATCTATGATGAACGCAAACTTCTTATATTTCTTGGACTTATCCCTGAAGTTATTGGAACTTGTCTATACATACCCATGGGAAACACACCAATTCAAATGTCCAACTGCTCTGACACTGGCCCCCCTGAAATTTTTTCTAATACCTCACTCATGATGGCCGATTTCACTTTACCCACATTCCCCCCGTATGGGAGTTTCTATTCCAGTTTGCTACGCGAGGATTCAGTTGATTCCGAAGGATGTACTCTCGGATGCCCGACCAATCAAGAATGGTGTCTTACTGTCCCTCAATCTTCACTTGCGCAAGTCCTCGTAGCCTTCATAATCACCATGTCAGCTTACCCGGTTGTTAACGGCCTCACGCAAGCCATCTTCTCGAAAATGCTGGGGCCGCGGCCACAAGGTCTCTGGATGGGCGTCTTAACAGGAGTTGGATCTTTCGCCCGAGTCACTGGACCAATTTTCGTGTCTTACGTTTACTCTAGGTTGGGCACTTATTACTGTTTTGGTATTCTCTCAGTTGGAATGGTTCTGTCTCTCATAGAAATTTGTCTACTTTATAAACGAATTGTTCCTATGAAAATACCGCGGTATAATGAAGGTATAGACAACAAAATCGCAGAAGATGAGGTATAAGAGCAGATAAGCTGTTGGAGTGCATTTATTGAACTTGTGTATATGTGGTGGCTCAAAATGTTAATATTGCACAAAAATATTGTTTATTAAAGGTAGAGAGTAAAATTGAAAATCAGATTGTTCATTGTAACCTTGTTCATACAATAGCTGCTTGCAGAATATATATCTGTTCCCTGGAAATTATTCAAGCCGCCGCGGTCAAAAATTTTGCTTCATAAAAACAACGATCTTAATTGCAATTTAAATCACAATAAATGGATAAAGAAATAAAAAATTATAAAACTTTCAATAACCCAAATTTTGAAGAAAGGAAAAGAATTATGATTTTTTATAGTTAAGCCCATAGCTCCGAAAATGAGCATCACAATACTATAATCGGTAAAATTGTTAATACCCTGTTACAATCGAGCATGTTCAGCCAAAATTCATATAACTGATTTTGAAACTGCTCAATATGCAAAAAAAATTTGCGTAGCAATTAACGCTCGATTACGTAAACGAAAAAAACGGGGGAAAATTAATTTCGGTTTATCAATGCTAATACATGACCATTTTTGCCTCAAAAATTCCAAGTTATTGATTGCTGTATAATACTTCAAATATCTAGGCTCATGTTGCATTCTATGTAAAGTTCCCTTCAAAATCTTCAGCCATGCTTGCATATTAATTTTTTATTTAAATAACTAATAATATAGTTGGAACTTTACATTTGCTGTGCAGGGCAAAAATCATTGTTTAAATTTTTTTAGTGAATTCCTTGCAGTCAGAACCTTCGGTCCGGTGATGAATCTTGTTTTTTCACCTCCGCACAAAAATTAGCCCGAATAACTATGTTCGTTCCCGACGTCTGCGTGGGGACCTCATTGATGTATACAAGTATACCCATTTTTTATACAAGGTCCTCGAAGGATTACTAGAATTTGAAACAAGAACCAACACCAGGGGCCACGACTATAAACTAAAAAAAACTGCGCTGCAAATCTCCACGCGACAACATTTCTTCTCGCTTCGAAACACCGACATGTGGAACAGCCTCCCCCGATGACATCGTTGGCGCTCCAAGTATGAACGCGTTCAAGAACAGACTAGATAAAGCTATGGAAAAATATATGTTCAGATTTGAAATGCCTAGCACCATATCGAACCCGGTGGAAGTCTAGTAGCTATTTCAAACTCGTCAGTCATAAAAAGATCCGGTCAAATGACACGATTTTAGATCTTCTGCGAACAAGGCACGAAAAGGAAAACAATCGGCGACAGGCCACATCAGGCCTACACTTCAGCGCTGACATAACTATGTTATGTTATGACTGTGCTCTTGTCCCGTCAATGTTTTAAACACAATAAAAAATACGCTATTGACGCTTTAACCCTCGCATCCAAATCGGTTTCTCGTCTCTTTCTACAACATTATGTAGCGGACAATGAATACAAATTAATTTATGAAGGAGAGAACGTCGCAATCGGAAGACAACGTGATGCTGCCAGAGCTATCCAAGGTGTAATTTTGTTGTGTATCTCTTATTTTCTCATAATTTACATGACATCCGATAGAGACACTCTTGCAACGCCCTTGTTAATGAACCTTTACGCCCTTCTGCAAGTTGTAGCATCTTTCTACGTTAGTATCATCCAGTCTGATGCGGGTGTACTTTCTATCATTATATTTATCAGTCTCAATAAAATCGTCACAGGTGTAGACGAAGGAAAAAAAATTTTCTTGACGTATTGATTGTAATATTGAGTCTTTACACTACGACTTTTGAGTCTTTGAACTCCGCAAATCCTGGAGTATAATTGCAGTGACGTCGTGACTGATTACTTCGAAGACCGAAGTGTTAGTACGCGTAACGAATACGAACATGCCGAACGCTCCTCTGAGCACATTCGTGAGGATGGACTTGTGATAGGGGCTTAAAGGACCGTTCATCTAAGTTGCGACTACGATCTTCAGCCGTGGTGTGAAACAACACCGGCCATACCACCCTGGCAGCTCATCACCACTTATCTGATTATAATTTTAAGTTACCTAGTAGTTCTATCGCTAATTCAGCCAGTCATTTCGAGAACTCTAGGGTATCAGCCGCAGCGACCTGTGATGGGGTAGTTATAGACCCCTAACCTCAGCGGGCTGGTCACTGTTGTGCCAAATTAAGTGACTGGTCCTTTGAGGATATCATCACTATATCAAAACTGTGGCAGGATCTACTTGTATATGGTTCCAGGCCTGCTGGAAACTGCGGCGTTTATAAACCTAATTATGTCATTCGATAAAATGCCGCCAATATGAGCCACCCGCAAGAAAATTGGTGCGTGCATGACGGATGAAGCCGTTTATAAATGAGCAAAATGAGGATTGGGCCGTTGAATTTCTTGGTAATTTAAGGTCATACTGTAACAGCGCATAATTCATAAGAGATTTATCATGCATGGTAAACCAGAAAATCTCCGCGAAACTTAGAAAGATTTGGGCATAGCTGGTCCACAGTAAATTGAATGATTACGCTCAAGCCAAGAATAATGCAAATACAATGCAAACAAAGTGAAAATCATATATCATATTTACTTTGTAAATCTGAAAATCTGAAGTTCTATCATAGATCAAAATCAACGTTTAATTGCAATTATATATATTTGATAGACGTAAAGATGAAGTATATTGAAGGACATCGCACGTTCCAAATGAGGAACTGCCACGAAAAATTTGAGCGACTCATTCGATTTTTGTACCGAAAAACATATGTCATTGGTGAAAGAGTAAAATATATGACAGGAATAAGTGCGATACACGACAATTGCAGTAACAGCTACGTGATCGATGCTTACATCATAAATTACTATGACCGACAAAATATGCGACTGGGCTATGGTACGTCGTTACGGATCCCGACGTCGAAAGACTGCCCATCACAGCACTCCATATCTCAGCACTCATCACAGCACTTCATGTCCAGACGAGGTCATGTAGGTAGCATGCCCTGCAACACGAGGTTGCTTAGATGCACTGAAGGATTAGTTAGGTAATATAACACCGCATGTAGTTCAACATTAAACTTCAATAATATCGATTGAGTGGCAGAGTGCAAAAGCACTATAAGGACTGCAGCTCGCTAATAGGCAGTTGTGGTAATCTAGCCGAGAAGAAACAAATTCAAAGTACAGTTCTTTTGCATCATAAGCAAGAATGAATCCCATTATTTTACACACCTTCAAATGCCATATTATAGTGTTGTTATAGAATACCAAACTGCAGAATGGAGGGCTCGGAATGGAATTTGTCACGGCACAGTCTGTTTGACTCCAAATTAATCAAATCAAGTGAATGCCGGAATGAATGAGCAATAAAGAAATATTTAGGAAAAAAGTTAAAATTCATATAATTGAATCAAACTGTAAGAAGTTTACGTAAAAAGTTGTGTGGAAAAGGTTAGTGAAGTATGCATAAACAAATGTGTATTCGAGTGCAGTAACGAAGTAATTGTTATTTAGCTTATGGCAAAAGTTATCTCATAGTCTAATTAACTACAATACATTCAGGTGCTATTTCATTTCCGAAATTTTGGGCACACTTCCTAGCACTGCAGGACTCATAGAAATACAAAATTCGTTTGTATTTTCGAATAAGAAGAGTAGAAGTTGTTAACAAATTTGTGGAGTAGAAGACGACGTTCTGGTCTATGATGAGTCATGAGTGTGTGCAGTTCTTAATTGGTGCTCGCTGGGCTGACGCACCCCTGTATACACGCATGGTAAGCTTTTCTCTCCTCCCCATAACCGCTGTGCGCGCGTTGATAAATTGGCGTGGACGCGGTCCTTGATCAATATAGTAGCATCGATCTAAGAAACAGACACAATCAATTTGTAGGTCCAGCAATCTACATCGAGCTCCTAGTCTACACTGCTTGATACACATCGCACCAAGTGGTGCTGTTCATGTGTTGGTATAGATTCTGTAGTCATGTGTTTTACAATCCGTCCTTACAAATCTTGTTTGTAACGAGGTCCGAATTCTACTCGAGAGTCATTAACCTTACCAATAATGATAGATCATTTGGAGCTTCTCAATAGCTCCAAATAATCCTTGAAGTACGGATCGAAGTGCTAGGTGCTTTTTCACTCAATGTGCAAACTTCCACATGAAACATGGAACTTGTAATTCACAGTACAATTAAGACGTGCTTATGACAATACACACTGCTTTTCGGAGGCATTATATGCAAAAAAAAATCTATCGTTGCATTAATTAAAGCGTACTAACAAAGAGAATTTAACAACTTCATATCCAAACCTTTTTCGTCATCGTGATTCATCTGTCCCTCTTCTGTAATATTATTATATTAGATACAGAAATATGAGCGATCTGTAGCCACTTTTCACGAGCAGAGGAAAACCTTTCTATGAAGAATCATTAATATTGTATACAGAACTGAACGACTGTTAGTTAGGCTCGCAATGCTACCGGCGCTCCACGAATACTTTTTGGCTACGGAGGCGAGGCGATGATGTCGCAAGACATGCATACCAAGCTGGCACGAGTCTTCTTTATAAGTGATTTAGAGGAGGACGATATTTTTATGAAAGACACACGTATGGACCTTGAATTATTTTGTCTTTGAGAATGTTAACCTCTTCATGGAAAATAATATTCTTGCATTGATCAAGACATCTTAAATATGTATTCTGTACAATATAAATCACAATTTCTATACATCGAGCTATTGATAATAACCCCGAAAAAGTTCGAGGATAATGAGGGATAGTGGTCTCTAGTGGTTAAAGTTCAGAGTATAGTCAAGATTGGAGCAGAGAGGCGCGGGTTCGATCCCAGCTCTGTGCGCCAGTTTCTGGTCAGCATCGGCAAGGAGGCCGGGCGGTTAAGCACAACAGAATTGTAGCAGTGAGTTGCGAGTTCGAGACCGCAACAAGCTGTGAATGTTCTGCGATGTTAAGAATCGGCGACAGGCCTACGGCCTACGAAACGCTGAAACCGCTATTATTTTACATATATATATTTAAACACGAGTGGTTAATGACAAGAGAAATAATTGATTTAAATTTTCAGGATCGAACAATATTCTTCAGTGCTTTTCAGTGATTCGTGTGCGTGAGTCCTCGCACGAAACTCGCTCTACGCACGCACAGCCTGCATGGCACCCGTACGTGTGGTGCACGAACCGTGGTGGTGATGACGGCAGTTTGATGGTGATGAAGGGGTGGTAGTGGTGATGAGGACGGCCGTTAGGCCGTCCTC